AAAAAAATTGATTCGTTATTAAGAAATATTATTTATCATATAAGAGAATTAATCTCCTTTAAAAGTCTGACAGACATCAAATAAATAAATATTTTCTCTGAATCTATATTTTATACATATGATAATTTAAACATATATATTTATTTTATTAGAATATAATTTTTATTTTTTAAAATATATTATTTTTTAAAATAAAAAATTATATATGTATTACATAGTAGTGGGGGCAAGTGCCCCCACACTCTAAAACGTGGATCCGTCCCTAGGTAGGATCAAGTCACTTAAACTACTCACCTTATGTTACAGAGATGTCCTAATTGAAATGCGTGACAACGCATATAACTATTATGTTAAGCATATGATGTGTTGAAATGATTGAGTTGTTCATATGTTATGTTTAATTGTGTTGTTCATATGTTATGTTTAATTGTGTTGTTCATATGTTATGTTTAATTGTGATGAAATGTGTTGTTGTGTTGATTCAAAGTTGGATTATGTTAATTTGTGTTGTATGTTGTGATGTTTTATTGTTGTGTTATCAAATATGAGATGATGATGTGATGTTCCTATGTGTGTATGTGTGTGTGTATATATATATATATATATATATATATATTTTTTTTTTTTTTTTTCCTCGAACTCCTTTACACACACTATCTCACATAAGGTATTAGGTAGCTTTTTTTCCTTCTTTTTCTTTCATTGTATGATATTTTTAAAATGGTTTTGGCAAGTCTTAGAGTTTGTAATAATAAAAACTACACAAATATTACTATTTTGTTTCAGAGTTCTGTGTCAAGAATGGATTACGACACGAACTCAAAGTCCACGACTAACATATTATAAGGGCAAATTTTCCGCTCACCTAAGTCGTATAAAAACTTTTAAATTTGTAATTTTTCATCTAGACATCTGCCCACCAACTCAAATATTCAAAGACTAAAACAAACAAAAACTATTAAATAATTTGCCCATAAATTGAAACGTACAAAATCACATTACTTCGTCAAAATGCATTTGTAGTATTAATAAAGGTAAAACATGTTTTTGTTGTTCTATAACTCTCAATTCTAGAGAGTAAACTAGAATAAAAATAAACATGTACGATTCTTTCTAACCTTACGCTTTTTTATTTATTTATTTTTATTTTAATATCTTATGAACTTTTATTGATTTGAGTTGTTGATATAAATCAATCCATATTAGCACACTGATTTATATATATATATATATATATATATATATATATATATATTATTACTAGTAAAAAAAAAGAGATATTTTATACTTTTATATATTTTATTCGAATAAAAAGTAAAATAAAAAGAGAAAAGAGATGTTGTGTGAGTAATGAGTGAATGTAAAAATAACCGAGGATAAGAAATTGTGTAAAAGTGAGATAAAAAAGTAAAAAATAATTAATAAGGACATTGAAGATAAAATGATTTTGATATTAAAGTAGTGAACAAAAAATTGTTGAACCTATTGGCTATTGTTATAAATGATCATATTGAATTATTATTATTATTATTATTATTATTATTATTATTATTATTATTATTATTATCTTTGTAAATATCTAATTTTGTGTAATGAAAACGAAAAATCTTAAAAACTCATTGATTTGATGTTTTATTTATAGATACACATACACCTAATTCTATGCAAACTATCTTAGTTCTTGCCTACGTTCCAACAGTCGTGCAAGCTGAAGATCGATATCTATATAACTATAGAAATTTAAATAAAACATAAGAAAACGGATTGAACCACATAACATAAAAATTAAATCAAATGAAAAAAAAAATCAACAAAACTACATAGAGATGCAATTCAAGTTCATCAACCTTATCCTATGGGACTTTTGTTACACATGAAGAACAAATAAAATAAGAAGAAATTAAGTGGAGATGAAACTCATATGGTTGCCTGCTTCTCCTTCATTTAAATCTTTTTAAGAAAATGGATAATAACTTAATTCAATCATACAAAATTGACTTCTAAAGTGATGATTATTTCTTACTTATATGTACTATATTATAACTTTATTCCTAGTTAATATGAGATATCTAACATACTTTCCTCATGTTAAGGATTGAACATTTCAATCATGAAGTTTATATGGTCTTATTTCTAGATGATGTAAAATCTCTAACACACCTCTCACATCAAGGATTGAACATCTTAAACGTGAAATTTTTTTACAGTACTAGAGATCCGCAAATGGTTCGATAACGGTTTGATAGCAAATTATCAAATAAACCCACTAACAAATCGCTAGAATGTAGGTTTTAATGCCACCTTAAAAAGTAGATTAAGAGTTTAACTTAAGGAAGCACTAGTGGAAAATCAGCATATTACGTCACCCATTTTACGTCAGAAATACGAAAATCCGACGTAAAAAAAATGCGGTGACATTTTTGTAATTTTCGCAAACTTTTTTACGTCGGACCTGGTAGGGTCTGACGTAAAAAGTCCAATCTACGTCGGACACAACACATCTCCGACGTAGATTGGACTTTTTACGTCGGACCCTACCAGGTCCAACGTAAAAAAGGACGTAAATTTGAATAAGAGTGCGCGAGGCACACCGCGCGCATTCACTTTTCATCACTTTTCATTTTTTTCTCTCTAAACCTTCTCCCTCTCCTTTGTTACTGAATCGTTTTTTTGTCTTTTGCAGAGGGATGAACTCTTTGTTACTCATTTGCACATTGTTGCTGCTCCTCAGGTATGAATCAAGGTTTCGTTAGCACTTTTCTACTTTGCATTACTACTCTAGCTATCTGTTTTATTTGATTTTTTGGTTGTTCTATTTGTATAGGTAGTGAGCGTTTTCTTTTGGGTTGTTATACGAAGCGTTTTCTTTTGGGTAGCACTTTTTTTATATTTTTTTCCTACTTTTTTACGTCGGATGTCATAATGTCCAACGTAAATTTACGTCGATTTTGCATATCCGACATAAAATTTACGTCTCCCACATATGTTTTCTGACGTAAAAAACTCAAAATATTCGATGTAGTACACCTCTTTTGTACTAGTGAAGATAAATTCGAATATCATTGATGTTTGTAGATTAAAAATTTAAATTAATTTTACAAAACTAATATTGTAAAATGAAAATTTCTTCCTAATTATATTAATTTCAAAACACTTAAGAGAACTCTCTGTCAAAGTTACGGGAACAAAAATATGGCAAGAGCCTTGTAAAACTTCCTGAATCCGTTTCCATTGACATCTAAATAACTTCTAGCTCACCACCTAATGTCTGACGCGAAGCGGTAGAATTATCCAAATTTGTATTCAACACTTCAATTTGGCCATCACAGGAGCCCAAGTTTTGGTGTCTAGCATTGATTCCAAATTATTGAATACCAGTAAAAATTTAATAAAAAAATTAAAGGTATTTTTAAAATTTTTTAAATTTGATTACCATCCTTGCAAATATGATTATTTTCGTCTTTAGTCCTTATAGGTTTTAAACCCTTTTTTGTCTAACCCCATTACAAAAACCCTAACATGTGAAGTATTTTACTTTTTATTTATTTATCAATATATGTAATTTTTTACATTACATATTTAATAACAATTTTTTTTATTGATTTGCTTAAAACTAAAGCTTTATTAATGTTATTCTTGAGCACGTCGTATAGGCAGGAGGAAAGATGGAGAAAAAAAAAAAAAAAAAAAAAAAAAAAAATTAAGCTAAAGAAAAAACTTTAAAGATCTTTCTGAAATGAGTACTTATTTCATGCATGGTTGTGAGAAAGTAAACTTAACCCGTGACTATCAATATAAAAACTCTTCCCCACTTTCTGCCGTACACAAGCCAAACCGAAAAAAAAAGAGAAAAGATATTAATGTTATTTTGGGTTTTCTACGCATATGGAGAAACACTCAAATGTACAAAGTCATTTTATATTTCATTTAAGTGGTGATGATTTATATTGAGGAGAATGAGATTCATTTTGGTGACAAAAAAGCAACCAAAAAGTGAGAAGAGAAGAAGAAAAGCTAAGGCATAGTCACCTAACAGTGGCAGTATTCTTTTACTGTAGCCTGTAGGATTGGGCTAAAATTTGAGCAACAGATTTTACAAGCATGATTATTGGTTTTCAATAGTGGGATTAGGGATTTGAGGTCTAAAGCGTGTTTGTATAGTAGCTCTGTTTTGGCGTTATTTTTTGTTAGTAATGGTTTGTATTTAGTTATTTAGGCCTGTTATAAACACAATTTGTGCACCAATTTTGAGACATATTTGTCAATTTTTTTTTTATTCAAATGACTTATGCTTTTACCCTTACTTTTAAGAGTTTTTCATCCTAAAAATCTTGTGTATCTCTTATGTATTTGTGTCGTTATTTATTTATTATTGCTCCTCACAAATTCTTGTGAATTGGGAGAAATTAATTTCTCTGCATATTGGGCTATTTTAGTTATGCCAAGGTGTTGTTATTCTGCCTATCAAATAATATTTCTGTTTAATTTTTAAACCCAAAATCAATCTAACTAAACACTATTAACCTTGTGTATATGAAGGAAAATTTTAGTCTAATATCTGTGTTCAAAAGGAATTTATAACGGCAAAATATCTCCTCTAAATGGGTCCCCTCAGTTTACCTCATCTAGACGAGATACAATACGAACCATTTTCTAGATATTTACTGTTTAAGATTAAGAGAGAGAGAGCAAAATTCACAACGGAAGTTAACAAATATCACATTATCCTACATGTTAGTATATTAAATGGGAATTACGAATACGAATTCATGATCCGATTGTTAAGAAATTTCTTGTGCTGATCAATGAGCCGATTCCTCATTTGGCTTTAAATCATCATTTTAAAGTAGGAAAATGATTATGTATTTTTTGATAGCAGAAAGAGAATACAGGAAATTGGTATAATTCATTATAAAAGATGAAAGTGAAATTAGTATTAACTAGTTTGAGATACACAGACGAAGACATGCATTGAACGCATTAGAGTACTCAAAAAAGTCACAAATCACAGCATTGGTCAAACTTGTGCGAGTCCTTTTCACCACTTCCAATAGCTTTTAGAAGCGCTTCAGTAATATCTCTTACATTCAGAGTTTGGTTCTCAGCCACAGCAATGGCTTCCATAGAAAAACCATTTTCGCATGAAACTCTGGCTTGCTGAACATCAAGACACATCTCATCAAATGCCTCTAAAACAGTCACCAGCTTATCACCCCCCTTCTCACAGGTGATCCTCACCATAAAAGTTCCTGTCCTCACCTTCTCTATTTTCACATCCTGTTACATTTTATAGGAACATTAAATATAAAAGTAACCATATTCAATACCATGTTAGCTAAAGCATAGAGATCCCATCCTATCTAGTAATGTAACTAAAATGGATGGATGAAAGTAGGGGACAACTCTCATCCTATAAGCTAACTTTTAAGATTGAAAGCTTTATAAATAAAATTTATAAGAGTTTTTCAGAATTTCCATGCCTAAAATAAAATGTTTTTTTAAGAGTTTTTTTAACTATAAATGTTAAATTGAATCAAATTATTTAGAAGAAACTCTACTCTTATAATCTTGTATCTAAACAAGTTCTGAATGAGGTTCAAACCCCAATTCTACAATAGTTCATGAGGTGAGGTTTATTCTTCTTCTTACATAGACTATTTTAATTATATCACATGTTAATATAGAATCTTTGCCATGTTATAGTTAATGTAGAATCATGTTATTTATGATAGGATATTTTCATTCTATCCTAGTTTTGAATGTATGGTCTTGAGAAAAAGGTTAAGAGAATAAGCATACCTTGTTCTCTTTGACATGGTTCAATAGACTAATACACTCTCTTCTGGTGGCTAGTAGGTTTTCATACTGTCTTTTGACAGTTTCCAGCGCGAGCTTTAGCTTGTATAAGCGTAGAACGGCACTCTTGGCAATAGAGGTTCTCTTGGCCTTCAAAATAAATCAGAAAGAAAACAACTTGAGTGCATGAAAAAACAGTTATCATAATTGTAAATTGTGAAATCAGGGGAAGAGAGGTGGTAACAGATACAGAATTATAGATGGTGTTGGGTTGCATTACAGAATTTGAGTTGGTAAGGACTCGCAGAATGTGAAGTTTTCTGCGCAGTGATATCCTTTTCTGCACCCTGCAAGCCATTTCCTCTGTTTAGTTTGCTTTATGTGTCCCTCTGGTGAATGTTAAATTGAGAGTACTTAACTCTGGCAGGGTATTTATAGCTGGTGAATGGAGTGGTGGGTCTTCGAATCTTGCTAGCTATTTCTAATTCGTAAAAATAAAACATTGCTACTTTATTTCTGTCTATATGGAATTAAAGGAAAAATTAAATTCCCAAATGGAAATTTGGATAGACTATCTGACACCTCCACACCTATTACACGTAGAGACATGGGAAAAAGAAAGCCACTGACCAGACTGTGAAATGATAAAAATGAAGAGAGACAAAGAGACATAATACTGGTGAGAAAATTAAAATTTGCTATTAATAGAATTTATTTCAATAAGTTATTAAATGTAACTTGAACGCGTGATTAAATATTTTTAATTATAAATTTATATTAGAATGTATGGTTTTTAAGATAAAAATTAGAATATAACTGTAGGGGTGGGAGTTAGAACGTGTAGAAGGTGCTGTGCTGGAGGGTGGCAGCTGCAATGTTGCTCCAGAGTTGAATTGCGAGAATTTAAACTCAAGCTCTACCGAAATTAGTTTTTGACTGAGTTAGTGGAAGATATATTTGGTTTAAATAAAAAATATATATATTTATTTATCTGATTTTATTTTATTATTATACTTCCGATTGATTACTCAATCATGAATTGGAAGTATATGGTGGATTTGATCTTGAAATCTGAAGCAAGAAATTTGATGATGATGCATGGTAAAATAAATTTTGATCGTGCATGTGACATCCTTTTTGGATATAGTGTTACATTGTAAATGAAAAAAGGTGTCTCAGCTGAGGCAAGTACAATAGTCAATAAGATTGCTCATTTCTCAATGCAGTACAAAATAAACCCATTGTATGTGGTGAAAGGGATTGGTAGGAATGAGAGAAACTGAACAAGGGTATAGTGTTAAAATTTGCATGGGAAGTGGGAAGTGAAACCAGTGGACAATAAGAGAGGATGGTCTTTCTCATTCTCAGTCAGAAATAATATCAGTGACTGCCAATGAGACATATGCATATCAGTCATTCACAGCACACACACACCCTTCACGGGCCTCTTCCTTTCCTTTGCCTTTGTCTCTCTCTAAAAAACCTTACATAGTTACATTGCCATCCCAAACCTTCACTAGCTAGAGGCCACAGTTGTATCACATGTGCTGACACAATTTCTGTTTTATTCTTTATATCGTTCCCTTTTTCCACTTCTGCACAGCCACATTCGCTGGCTTCTACCTACTTCAATTAATTTCAAAAGTATAAATTAACTACTGGAACCCACCACATAACAATAATAACATACACATGTTTATACACACTATACTTTCATTTTCATTTTTCAAATACCAGCTTCTGTGTTCACCTTACATTTTTCTCATATTATATAATTGCATTCTCATTATATTTACTATTTTCCACTTTCCCTTTCTTATTATTTCAGAGACTAGTGAATATTTACATTTTCTAAAAATCGAACATATTATCAAGATTTACAACGACACTCACTAATTATATTCAATCAACTTATTTCAATTCCATTAGTTATGGATATTCACTCATTACATACATTTAATTAACACCTATCAGTTCTCCTTATTTATCTTCTCATCACATAATATCACTAACCACATCTATATATACTTTATCTCTTCAATTTATGTCTTGATCTCTTTTGTTGTAGTTTATTTTACTCAACTCTCTTGTTGTAGATTGACACATATGTGTCCGTGAATCATTTTTGTATTTTAAGAAATGTGCAAAGAAATAAATTTGTTTAAAAATAGTTGAATTATAAGGTGAAGATGAAAAAGTCCTTTAATAGTTAAAAATACTCGTGTATTTAATTTAATAATATATTTAACAATTAAAAATAACCCTACATGGGTGAGGAGACTTTTCTATGGTTCTACTTACAATTTTATTGACTTTATTATTAATTGTTGAAAATATGAGGAGATTAAACATGTGAGAGATTTCTATTAACATGTCATGAAAAAATTACATAAATAAATTTGACATCATATTTTAATATAAAATCTTAAAATATTAAATTTGTGAGTCTTTCTCATTTATATATTACTAACATATTTAACTCTATCAAATATAAGATTTTCATTCACATTTGTAAACCAACATTGTTATTATCATATTTTTTACATTCACAACTATGTCCTCTGCTTTTTTGTTCAAACTTATCTAAGAATATCATTTTCCGAAATGAAACTTAGTAATTATGTATTGGATTTTTTTAATTTTAATTTTTATATTTTAAGTTGAATTTATTAAAACGTTAATTAGGGTAGTTACTTTTTTATATCATAACTAAACGTTATCGTTGATGATTGATTTACAACAACCAGATAGTAACACCAAAATAATTATTGAGGATATCGATTTAATAAGATTTATAAGTTGTGGGTCTCCTATATATTATATATAATCAAGGACTAACATTCCTATAATTATTTAATTTATAGTAACCATGTATCTAGCCAAACTATATAAACAAGAGATAGAATGTATGGATAAAGGAAGGAGTTTAAGGAAATAATAATTAATTAATATTTAATACATACGAAATGCAGGGTATGTGTATGTGTGGTATATATTAATCCAAGTTGAAGGAAACCATTTGGAAAAAACCATGGGATTGGGTGGTCATTCTCTAAAGCTAGAAATGACAAACATATAGCACGTAACCTGCATAAAAGGCAATCGATAGGACTTGTCTGCTACTGAATTATCTCATTCTTGCACAGGCAAGCACTAACGCTACATGGCAAAAAGAAAGTTCGGATTTTAGTAGTTGCATGCCTCCTTAAATTGCTCTTATTAGCTTTGTTTTGTTGTACGCACTAATAATTTATCTTTTTGAAGGCTCCTAGCTATGGACTACTTTACTGTCTCCTCATCCTCCTCTCATGTACCAATGATAAAAAGTTCATCCTTCCATTGGGCTTACTTGTCCATTTGTGCTTGACATGTCTCTCTCTCAATTGAGAAAAGGAAGTTACATTTGTATCTATTCATTGGCTTCTAGCAAAAAGCTCTATGCTTTTCATCTGTTTATCGTTCCTGGAATCTATATTCACATGCTCAAAATAAGGGAGCAATATTTTCTATATCACCAAACCTGTCCACGGGCTAACATGATCATGTACTGCCTTTGTGCTTCGAGGGAAGGAAGTCAAATTCTACATAAAAAAGAAAAACCCGGCAATAATATACAAGTACTGAAAATTTAGAATTTTGATATATGAAATGTCTGATCAGACTTCATGAGAGTTGCCAATTATATAGAGTGATTTGAAATTTGAATGTTAGAATTTATAGGATTTATATTAGGAATTGTTTATTTTGCAGTAAATTGTGTACTCCTTAAGATATGTATATATTAATTTATGAAAGCGAGCACATTTGTATATAATATATAGAAGGAGTACACATTTACATTAATTGAAAAATATTTATCTTATATATCTTCACGATTTATAATAGAAATTAATCATTACTTTTAATAGTAAATATTTTATATTAATATTATAGTTACTTTAAAAAAAAAAATACAAGGAATAGAATTTTTCCCCTTGTTACATATAAGTTTTTTGATGGGAAGATAACACAGTTAGAAAATTAAGAGTGGAGAAAAGATATGACATCCTCATCTTATAATAATAGTAACCTTAATTTTTACCATCACGAACTCTAGGTTAATTACTTGGTCCTACACAATTATCTAGTACACTTACCAATTAAGCTTGAACGAACTCACAGAACATACACAATATATATGGATATTTTTAAACCCATAATATGAATCATATATATAATTATAGATTTTGAAGGAAAGTATCAGGTTAATTTGGGCTGGGGAGGGTGGAAAGATTTTCTTGGCTTACTCTAGATCACAGAAGGATGTCAAAAAATATTTTTCCCCTTATCATTATACCAAAACTTATTATTATTAATAATAATTATTTAACACTAATAAATTAATTATTTCTATTTTATTATCTAATAAAAATATTAATAATTAATGATTAATAATTATTAAAAATATATTTATAAAAGTAGATATTGAAAATGGACAGTAAAAAAATAAAGATAACTTCTAATTTATTTTATTAAAAAAAATTAAGTCTCATATCAATTAGAAATAAAATAATTAAATAGTATATAAATAGAAGATAACTCTCAACTTACAAATCAATTTTATAGGTTAAATTAAATTCATAATTCATTATTCTAAGATGATATCAGAGTTATATCTTAGATCTCCTATAAAGAGAGTCACTCATCATTAGTACATGTATTGTGTCAAATAATATTAAAAGTGGAAGGGTGTATTGAAAAAAAAAATCAAATCTCACATATACTAAAAAGAAATCAACTAAAAAATATATAAGTGAAAAATATAAAAACTAAGAATCATTTCTTAAACTTTTAGTGACAATAATAAAAAGTCAATAAATAGATTAAATATTTAAAAATTAATATTAGTGATCATTATAAATATCATTAAAAGTATCACAAAAATTCATATTTTAATCATTATAAGAATTTTTATTAACATACAAAATAATTATCAATAAATATTTTACCACACTATATACAATGTCGGAAAAATATTTTGTAACTATTTTTATTAAAAAAATTAAATACTATGAAAGGGACTCACTATTCCTACTTATATATTCCCTCCATTTTTTTTTCATAGTCGTTTTGTCAGAATTTGTTATTTTTTTTTCATTGTCATATTACTAAAATCAATGAGTTATTAATTTTTTTCTTCCATTTTTACCCTTGATAATTAATACATGTTTCCTGAACAATCTGTGTATTTATTTTTAATGTCTACTTAATTTTTCTCTAACTACTCATATAAAGTTAATGTGCATTTATTAGAACAATATGTTCCCAACAAAATACTATAAAAAAACAAAAAAAGGACAACTATTTAATGGAGTATGTTAACAGTCTAAAAAATGCAAAAATTAAAAAAGGTAAAATAGAAAAGTAAGTAATAAATATTTTTGAAAACTAAAATATCAATGATTTCCTTAATTTCCGTACAAAACCTTAAACGACTAT